ATAGAACAGATGCAATGCCGATACCTTCCTCCTATCTTTTCCACATGCTGTAGTAAACAACTGTACAAGTCATTGGTCTTGCGGTTCAGTTCAGCAAGGAGCTCACCAAAGTAGCGGCAGTCCAGCTGGTCATTATTTTCCTGAGAGCAATTCACCTAGCAGAAGATAATTCAAGATCATAATTGAGTTCCCTTCTTTGGGATGAAAGCCAAACATGAAAATGCTCCAAGTACGACGGATTTGTTTTTGTTTATCTTACTAATTTGCCATTTGTTTACACTGTCCTTTTCCTTGGTATTGAGTCTTCCATGTATTCTGGTTTTTGGCAAACTATACAGAATTAAATTACTTCCTTTACAGCAACAAGAAATACGCAAAGTATTATCTTCTACAGCAATATCATCATCATTATTCTAATATGGAAAGTGTTGAGAATTAGGAAATCTTTCATTAATATACATGTTTCCATAGCTGTAGTGGATAAAACGCCTGTGGGCAGCACCCAGATAAAACCAGCTGGGTGCAAGATTCCCCACTGCAAAAATGGTATTTGTATTGCCACAGTTCAAATGTTTACGTATGCGAACAACAAAGTAATTTCCACAGCAACCCAAACTGAGTGTACTGAAGTTGGTTTATGGGAGTATCTGGCTACGGAAGATTCCACGCAGCTCTAACACTAAGGTCACCAAGTATGTTTGTTGTGCCACCGATACATTGAATCAATGCATAGGAAGGACTGCTACGTTCCCTCCCACAACTGAAATATCAGCATACATTATATTGTATACTATAATATACAAGCCTCCTGCAGCCCTTAGAAACTCCAGAACTTGCAACCTGATGTAAAATGAAGGGTGAAGGAAGCTAGTTTTGTGCTTCCAGTGAACCTGTGTCAAATACTTCTACATCAAATTGAAATATATTTGAAATCCTTACTGATCAGTTTAGATAGAAAGCAATCCTGAATTGATGTGTGTCCAGTTTATAAAGTAATGTATCTTTTCTCCAAAACCAGAGGTGTAAGCCTTACACTACTCCATCTTTGTTGTACAAAAACTGACAGATGAAACCTGACTCAATCAATGGGTAACACTCCCAGATAAAGAAAAAAAAACAAACAAACCAGCAAGACTTAACACATTTAAAGGACAACAGAATGATGATCAGTCAATACAATTAAGCGCAGGTCTACACCAACAAGCAATAGGATACACCACCTAAAACAGCTTTTTTTTTTTTCCTTAACAGCATGTGACAAAGTCTTGGACAGTTCTAGACAATGTCTGCAATCACAGCATGCGAAGAAGTTACCTGCAACAGACACACAAACTCTGCTGTTTCCTTACAACGGGTGTATGGTGCTTCATGATCTTACTGTGAGGTTGAACAAACACTTTTGAGACCAGGGATTAGTAATTTTATGTACCTGTGAAGTTTTGTACTCTGCATACAAAACAAAAATACAGTGTGAACAGTAAAACATTCAGCAAATCATTCTTACCGGTTCAGAGGTTTGAACTGTTACCCTCCTCGCTGTATTTCCTCTGCAGTCATCGCTCACAGAGACTGGAATTACTTCACAGGGGCTACTGGTCTGTGTCTGCTGGCACTGGTGGGTGACTTGGGACTGCTCAAAGTGCTGGCAGGGCTGGACAACATGGCACTGATCGGCTTGCTGGGGAATCTGACACTGGTGGGAAAATTGGTATTGCTTCTCCTAGAAACAAGAATGGATTTTTTGAAGCTGCTGAACACATCTTAATGAGATGGAGGCTTAATATGAATATATAAATGAATGAAATGCGGTTTTGCGTGGAAAGACTGATGACAATTTCAGGTATTTTAATAGTCCTAATAAAATTGCTTTTTTCCCTAACTGAACATGCATTTGCCTCACTCTGTCATACTTCAAGGTTGTAATTCACCAACTCCTCAAATGTTAGTAGCTGCAAATGAAAAGCACAGAAGACACACCTTTCCTGAGTTGTGTGTTTCATTATCGTGTTACTCTTAACGTACTCAGGCAATGGGGACGTCCATTATTTAATTTAAAATGCATGCATATCCTGTTTCATTAAGTATTTTGGAGATAAAAAAGAGCTCCAGTTGAACTGTGTTTTCGTTATTTCAGTTAGAAAAAAATTTAGTACAGCAAATGGCTCAAGACATTTTCCTCTATAAATGCTTTCAGCAATTCCAGATTCAGAGTGTACAATATGTAAGGGACACGTGTCTGGTTTTTATAAGCAAGAAGAGTGCTATTTACAAAACAATAAACTAGGAACTAGTTTATGTTCCAGTCAAAACACTGAAAGTTAGTGATTTCAGCAAACTTAATTGTTTCTACAGATCATGGCTTTTGCAAGTTTACTTCAAAAAATACATATTTTGTATTCTACGTAGAAGTATACAAATGCACATCCTGGGCTGCAGATAATTTTGACTTAAAATTCACAGTGCAGTTACATTTAAAAGGTTGAACCAACATCTACTTCTGCACCAAAATCAGAACACAGAGACCGCATTACATCCGCATTACACAGTGACACAAGAGGAGCAGAGTGAGGACCCAGTACCGACATTCTATGTATCTGAGGAGGTTTTACATCGGGTTTTGAATGGGCTACACACCCCTCAGCAGTCGTAGCACACTGGGTGCGCTCTGTCAACACATCCTAATTTCACCTGAAAGAAATCTAGTTCGCATGGTCCAAGACCACGGTGCGGTGTAAAAAAGCGATATGTAGTAGAAGACTGGGAAATTGTCTTCAAAACTACACTTCTGATTTGATGTAAATCTAGATATACCCCGGGTAACAAAAAACAGAAGTAGAAATACGGTTTCCAGGACTAGACTCCACACTTTATTATTCTGTGGGAAGAAAGAAGCTATTATTCATCATTACCTCAAATTTTTTCCCTTTCCACTTCAGGGTATGGATATCACACCTAATTTATCTATCTAAAATCCAGAATGGAATGAAAACTTAAGTAAAAAAACAAACAAACAAACCAACCAACCAAACAGATAAGATTAATCACTCTGAAACAGCCTTCATTTCAAAATTTTTGCTGTTGAAAATAACAGTATTTCAGAGCAATTAAAAAGGAAATAATATTTTTGCTATTGACAAAACACCAATTCTAAGGTGAAATTTCAGACAGCTTTACCAAATAATTTTTTCAAGAATGAGTAAAAAAAAAAAAAAAAAAAAACCAGTTAAAATTTGTCTTTTCAATTCGTTTTGTGTAAAAATTTGTATTGGTTATTCTGTTGTGGAGCTACTGCAAGAAACTAATTCTCAGTCGGTGTGCAGATAAAGACTGACAGTGCTGGAGATACAACAGCAGTTTTCATTATTAGTCTGAAATAATAAATTCTTAGTAAAAATATAGCAAACCTTCCAACTTCTGCTCTCCTTACATACAGAAATTGTTTCATTTGCTTTGAGAACGTGTCCTATAATTCAACAAGGCAATTCTCACATTGGCAGTAGTTCCCAACAAAAAAAACCCAACCCGGGAACATTACTTTTCTGCTACCATCTCAGTTTTCTTTTGCAACAGGTAATATAAACGACCAACTTACCTGGTGGGGATTTAATAGCTCGTATTTTCTTATTGTCTTTTCATAGATGACATTATTTCCAGGACAGAAATTCCCCCCTCTAAGAAATGGGGATAACGGCTCCTGTAAAACATTTGAATAAAAACATTCTTAAACGTTGTCAAACAGCAAATTCAGAATTAGTGTAATTTTGACTAAAAAATGATAAGGGATTTTTGTAATTTGAAGACACATATACTTCAAGATAGTTCTTTAAGATACGTATATTTGAGTGTATGTCCATTTGGAAACAAAGTGACTGTGCTTCCATCTAGACAGTATTTGAAATAAATGCAGTAGAAACAGAAATTCATCTCTGCTAGCGATGCTATTGAAGCACATTAATAGAGACTTCACTGCTGAGAGGCGGGACGCCTGAGTGGCGATTCTGTAGTATTTTCAATCCCTAATAATTTCATCTCCCATCAGAGGTATGGGCCATGTGATTTCAAAATATTCAGCGTCCCCTGATGGAGGTAGCCAAGCACTTTACCGAATCAGGATAATCAAGGGAGGAAGAGTTACACAAGCAGAACTCCAGCACCAAACACTTTTCCTACCTGATCAGGATTCTCAATAATAATCCTTCGAACAGTGCCCTGCAGGGAAGAAAGTAAATTTCAGTGATTACTGCACTTTAATCTCTAAAACCTTTTATGCTCAGAGCTCAGGTTTACATGGGTTCCCGAATTAATCTGAATATGGTCACCAGCTATAAACATATTGAGATCCACTGGATGAAATCACCTAGAAATGTTTTAAAGCCAGGGCCTTTCCACCCCAAAGGAAATAACCCGTATACAGCATGGCAGTATGCAATCTGTTACTCTCAGTTTTAAGAGTTCGTTGTTTCTCAATCACCTCTTTGCAGGTCTGAGGCAATTAGTCCTTATTTTCTGTAAGTGCCTAGAGAATAGGATACACATCAAAGCTGACAAACTGGACTAGGTTTTCAAGGATCACGTCCCTATTCCACAGACGCTGTCTTTCGTGCTACGGATTAAGGTCAGCTGGTGTAAATGGATGTACATCTAAACCACTTTTTGTTTCACCAAGGGAAGAAAATTCGTATTTTGCTTAAACACCAAAATGAAAGGGGCAGAGGAACTGCCAACAGACCGCATCAGGTTACTATCCAATGCACCAAGCAGTGGCAATTGTTTCAAAAAGTGGTCACAAAACTCCTATGAAAAAGATGCCCACGTGGAACATTTGCACATTCTTGAATGAAAAATGAAATATGCCTTTTCACATTACAGAAATCCGTAAGTGGCAGCAGTGTTGTTCATTTTCAAATAGATTCTTTCACTTTTTTTCCCAGCACTGTCTACAAGCAATTGCGGACATTGTCTTCCGTTTTGTGGTCCACAACCAGTTATAACAAATTGTACGCATTGCTTCAAGTCTCCACGTCCAGTTCTTTACCCGAGCAAGCAAAATTCCCACTGAATCTAATTCTAAGGATTGGACAATTTGTTAATTTGCAACATACTATTTATTCTTCCTCACAGTACAAACTTCCAATTTTCATAACAAACAATTTTTTCCCTTAACCCGTGGGCAGTGCTTGGGAGGCTTATATTGCTGCAGTTCAGTCTCGGAGACATTCCTAACTGGGTAAGAGCAGTTCTGAAGTAGGTCAGATTTCCAGCTGTGAACCGTTGCGTAGGTTTAGGAAGCCTGCAGCGGTTTTCCAAATCTCCCAAGAGTGAATCATAACAGCACCAGGAAAGAGAAATCAAAGTAGAAAAGAAACTGTTTTAGCAGCAATCATAGTAATTAAGAAATCTCAAAATTATAACTGCTGCAGAAAACTTAGAAAGCTGCTTACTCCTCCTCCCACACACCGTGTACTTGAGGTAGGTCTGTCAAAGAAGGGAACCCACCGATGCTAACAGAACTCTCTGTATCAGGACACAACACTGACAAGAGACAATATGGAGGTCTAGAACATACAGCCCAATTCCTACATCACTCTGACACCTACAGAATTTGAACTGAATGTAAAATACCTAAAAAATGAATGCCCACTAGTATTTCCTTCTCACCAGTTTCACAGCAGGCATACCCCTGACTCCCAGTACCTCCTCTGACCCAGGCGAGGCAACTCCAAGCTTCTCACTGAGCCTCGCACCACTGGCTCTGTCCATCCCGGACCACACTGGTGCTACGACAACACGAGTACCATGGGAGAGCAGTAGTTGTTCTTACTCAGAGTTGACTACCATTGTATGGCACATGAAAACAAGATGAGCATTGTGCATGAAATTAAAATACACATTTTTAATTTACTGAAGAGCTGGACAAACCTGCCTGAACTAATCATGCTGCCACAGGGCTGTGGAATATGTAACTCACACTGTCTAGTTTAGAGAGGATAAAGTGTAAAATTATTTTATCTGGTTACCTATGTGTTCTCAGAGGAATACATTCAGAACTGAGAGGACTAGAGCATTTTAAGTTGAAACATACTTTTATAATATTCAAAAGGACGGTCTAATCATATGTGGAATATTATACAGAACCTAAGAATGTTTTGCTTGGATAAAATTATGCTTATTTTTAAGATACCCAAACTCTTTCACTTCCAAAGAACTTTGATGCAGATACATTTCCCTCGCTCCATCACAAACACGGATTTGCCTGCCCTTCCTCCCGTACCAGCCAAGCAGGCTGGACTTGCACAGGCTGGGAGGGGAGCCAGAAGCCAGAAACCCTGTGACTCTGTGCCAGCCTGAACTACCCACACGCAGTTCCTTGCTCCGCACACGGAGATGCCTTCCCCAAGACCTTTGGAGCTGTTCCCTCGGCAGCGCAAGTGTGCTGCAGGAGGTACGCTGCGACGGCAGGCCACCTCGGGTTATTACAGACTTTTCCATCGTTCCCAAGGGGCACAGCTCAGGCTACTCTCTGCAATCTCCTACAATGCTTCGGAGATGCAACATTTTGTAACTTGGAGAAGGAAGGGGAGGGTCGGATTTTAGCTGGGAGAGCCCAGTGCTGTTGTGGATTTCAGTGGCATGACTGAGTTTGGGATTTGTACAACATGATCAGTAGTTCTGGGTCTACGTTTACAAGGATAACTTCAGAAGGTACATGCTAACACTTCCATAATGATTTTTGCTAGTCTTTAAGATCTTGAAATAAGATTTTAAAATAAGCGTTTGATAGATTTATCCAGTTATTGTATGCAAATTTTATGAAAATCCAGTCAGTGCACTAACTTTTATTTCAACAAGTTTCCCTTAGCTTCAGACAAACCAGCGATTAAGATGAGAATTTCATCCATATCAAAACCTTTTATCCCTAACGTATTGTCTTGTTAATTACAAGCAATCCAGTCATCTAATCAGGATTTATGAGTTGCACTTGGCAGCTGAAATACGGAAATGGCAGGCTACATTTGAGGGCTGTTTCAAACAATACATAAAAATCTTACAAGCTGGTTAATATTATACCATTTTCACAACGGGAGGCGAGAGCCCTGAGCACTTCACAGAACACAACCCAGCCATGAAAAGATCTTACTCACAAAATTTCTCACATGGATAGACATCTACAAAGGCTTTCAGGATTTTGCCCTCTGCACTGACATCAGACATCTTGTGTGTGCCATTTCATATAGTATTTTTTCATGACCGCGGTGAAAGGGTTCATAGGTGTAAGCCATACTGGAAGAGAATATATACTAAACAAGATTCTTCCTTTAGATCAAGCAAACGAGAGCAAAATTTGCCGTGAATTACTCCAGATGAAGCTTGCCACGGCTGGGAGTAGCATTTAGCTTCTACATCAAGGATAAAACAGTTAGACCGAAAAAGTAAAGAAAACTGAATCCTGAACCACAAAAAAAAATACAATCACATGTACTATACGCACATACCAGTTTCAAATTTTCCCTCCAACTTATTAAAAACGTACATAAACACAACAGAACACACCAACCATGTGACTAAATAATAAGACAGTGTATCAACAGTGATGCAGATGTTTGTTACCACTAGTCTACAAAAGCTCTGGAGAAGTAAATTAAGTATTGCTCAAAGATAGCCCTTTGCCTTATCAACAGCGAGAAGCTTAAACTACAGCTCTAGGCTGCCATTAACTGAGAATTCTAGTGTTAAGTTAAAACACCTATGCCAGTAAGGTATCGTTACATTATTCAGTTTATGCAGCTATATGTGATCTGCTCAAAGGGCAACAATCAAAAAGAAAATTGTACTTCTCCACATTGCAACTCTTTGGAAACTTCCTACACTCTTCCCAGCACTTCTTTCTGACAACTCCCATTCAACACCAAGTATGTAATTTCTGTCTACTCCCAGCTGACTTCCTTGTTTGTTACCGTTTTCTTCGTTAATAGCTTCCTACTAATCTTTATTAAGCACCTTCCCTCTCCACCATTAAAACTGCAACCCACGCAAAGCCTGATTTGAACTACACCCTCTTTTGTCTTTAAAGTCTAATCCAGCAAAACACTTCAGCAAGAAATTATTTTTCATCAGCACGACTTAATGGATGCAGTGACTAAAACAGATGTTGAAAATTAAACATACTTCGTAGAGCAGAGACAGCATTTGAGTCTATAATCAAATTGTTCACGTACTCATCCCAGTAAAGGAAGCCTCGGACTGCAGTATTTATTCTAATGAATGTTTAACTAATTGAACGCAAATCAGACTATCATCTAACCTAGTTGAGCAGATCACTTATTTGGGAGGTGAGAGACCAGTGTTTACAGTCCTGCCCCACGTCTTGCAAAAGAGGGATTAACAGCTTTGATACAGCGGGAATGTGCCTGTCATACCCAAGTCACATACAACTATCCGTGAAGCGGCTCACTGTACAGAATGTACAGAAGCCACCCTGTAGAGGAAGGCAGCCCTTAAACTATGCAAATATGGCTTTGAAAGGAGATCAGATTTCATACTGGTCTTAATCTCTTTTTCATAGTTAATTATTTTTATACCACAGGGAAGACAATTAAATAAGAGTTCAACTTGAAACAAATAAACATTCCCATATTGAAGATACCAATCCTGCTTGATAGTAACGACAGTCTGAAGAGAAAAAAATGGTTTAAGAATAAACTCTGATCTCCTTTTCTGTTTTATAATCAAAGCTGTTAAGTCATTGGTTTCTAGTTTTGTTTTTAAGACTTAGCTAAAGTATTAATGGCATATGTTAAAATTATATTAAAGTCCATCAATTCCTTCAAGCTGCTCCCTGAA